AAAGAACACTATTCATGGCATATGCTTAGGAAATGATGTGTTCAGCACGATTTGCTTGGATCGAAAAGCAGTTACGGCTTTGGCCACATGTGAAGCTTTGTTTTCGCAGTCAGAAGACAACATCTCAAGCACAGAGACTCCGCTTCAGATAAATGATGGCGGAGGACAACCCTTCTTTACCAAAGCAGAGTTATTTACATTCGTATAGAGTAGTTTTTGAGAAGAACCCACTGTAACTGCTTGATTCGCATAGGATCCAGACGAACCAGTGATGAACCGAGAATTGGACGTAGGTCAGCCTCAACCTCCATGCTGCCAGTACGAGGATGCAATGAGCGCAGTAGAATGCATGCATTGCTGACCAGTGAGTCTACTCTACATGCATGACGAGCATCAGCTGCGTCTCCAACAGCTTCATAGTCATTTCCAGAAGCTTTCACATCTGCAGCGTAACATCCGCCTCACGCAAACTGCCTCAGCTGTCGCTTACCGTATTTCGAAGCCACACCGTATTTAAGTATGCATTGCCCTTAAAAGATGATCATGCATGGAAACGATGTGAAAGATCGAGAATATGCAGGAGCACTTCGTTTAAGAAATGAGGGGAACCAAAAACTCTAAGCAATGCTTGAAAATCTCTTTCTTCTAAACATGAACATTTTTTTTTTACATTGCTTATTTCATTTCTTACGGGCTATACAGAAATTAGAGCTGATGTAACACAGCTTCGATACTACAACTACGTAGGTGGCTACTGGCTTTATTTTTATACTTGTAAGTTGCCCAATGTTATAATATACCACGCAAACATCTTTTGGAAACGCGCATTTCCTATCCAGCAGTTAATGTTCAGCCACCTGACAATTTGACATCTGGTTGATTAGTGACTTATATTTAGCTTATGTGGTATGCGTCTGCTTGACTTGCACCCTTTTTGCACGCCCAAGTGTTTTTTGATGTATCCACCTTTGGTCGGGCCCTGTTTCATTTGAATAGATATTTGCTTGAGCTACTTTGCGCTACAGAGACCAGACAACAATTTCCCCTTATTTCTACAAGTATAACAAAGTGAAGATGAAGGAAATCTAGTTAGTCCATTTGTAATCCTACGTTTTCCATAATTCTCTGCTGCTTCTTTAGCAGTATAGATCTTAAGTCAGTTTGCTCTAAATACGCCAAAAAGATGAGGTGCATTTGTTGCTTGTGTCAGATTAAACCTTCGTTGTATAACACAGATCATTATATCGTTTTGGTTTA